ACAAACAAACAAACAAAACAAAAATCTTTAATCAAACGTGGGAAAGCCTCTTCGACGGTGGCGGATTTTCAAAGAAAGAAATTTGATATTGGTGTATTGCTCCAGGCTAGGGCGAATTATAATAAACACCCGCCAGTGGGTAATGGAACATTGTCAAATAATTGTTTCGACTCCTTCCTGGAATAATTAACTAGAATTATTTTTAGCGAGTATTTGTAAGGTATTTTAATCTTTCTCTTCTTATTTTTTTTGTTCGCCGCTAGTGGGGAGTTTGATTCAAGGAAAAAGATAAAGCCGGCTGATCTTTCTCCTCGACTCGCTAACTGTCTGATGAACCAAAATCGAGAGACCTGCATGGTATGAATGTATCGATTTAAGCTATGAATGAAGTTTGCTTAAAGAAATTCTGCATTTTAACGAGCTGTAATGGTTATGATGTTTTACATCATTGGGTGCATTAATAGTAAACGAGTACACTCCTTGTATTCTATCTTGGAGTTAAGAAATAAGAGGTGTTGATTTTTACAAATTTCGACTATTGGTGCTTACACACCGTCCTTATAGTGTAGACGAATCTTATTGGGATGCCAGTTGCTAAATTGCAGTTTACTACGAATGCATCTTGCCAAACAATTATCATATTTAGAACAGGTAAATGAAATTTATTTAATTTCCCATTGAAAAAAGACAGAGATAGAAATCACTTAGAAGGAGACTGAACTCGCTTTGCGAAAATGAAAGCATAGGACAAATACACGAAGTGCTTTTGAAGTGGTTTGGACGAGATAGATTCTTACCTACCGGCCATCTTTAAGGTAAAAGAATAAGTACGTATCAAGCCGGCTTTTTCATTGCCATGCCTTTTGCATGCACATTTAATCCCTTCTATACTAAGTTACTCGAAAAAAAAGGAACTCTCGCTGCGATTTTTCTTATTCTGGCGATATCGCTGTGCATTAACAAAAAGGCTTCAGCGGTTTAGTCTTAAAAGTTGATCATCTTTTTAAATCTGAAATTGTGCTATGTCCTGTCACATAATATGTGACAGCACAGAACTTTTTCATATTATCCTTGTGTCGAAACCATATGAGACCCATCAACTCCCAGGGCTGGACATTAAAAGGAGTTAGAGGGCCATTGTGTAAACATAATTAGAAAGTGCTCGGTTCTGACAAAAACAAAGCGATTTTGAAAAGTTATGTGCAAACCAGTTGTAATTAATTCGGATTGGCCCTCTGTTAACAGTCCTGGGATTTCGAGGTAAGCTTTCTAGATATTTTGTAATTTTTGTGATTTTTTAATGTTATATTTAACGAGACAAAATACAAGCGTCATATTTCGATAAACAATCCTCTCAATGTATGGTCTTTTTGTTTCTCGACGGAATATCGTAGTTATTTTCATGCGAACGTTTAACTGAATTTGGGAAAATTTTATTCGTTCGTGTGCTGAGTTTAAAGCTTCCCAGCAAGATATTTTAATTAAATATTCCAATATAGGCAAGCTGACAACCCCCCGCTGTTTCAAAAACCGATTATGGAAATAGTTAATTGGTCAAAATGCACTGAAATTATTCCTCTAATACCCTTCAAAAATTGAGAAAAAGATTCATGTGCTCAGCAAAAAGTAATTTTACATGTTGGCAATCTTTGCAGGCTTTTAACAATACAATAGAATCTTCTTATAAATAAGGCTCAATGTTTCACTTGATGCCAATCACCCCAAAGAGCATACTGTAACCATGAATGAGCAAGAGTAAAGAAGAATTTGCTGCTGTGCAATAAGCACTTAAATCTGTGTCGAGGACTTCATCATAGTGGTGATATTTCATTGTTATAAGTAGCGACCGAGCACCTTATCGAAAATACAAAGAATAATTATGGTCAAAGTGAGGTACATTAATGCAGAATCATTATGTAAACATATCTTCTTTTAGCATAAATTATTTCAAAACATCAATTTTTTTTAAGGAACGAAGAATGGATCATAAAACAAATTTGATAATATTTACAGTGTTTCTCTCAAGTTATTCGTGTTCAACTCCATCACAACATGATAATAACTCGATTTCGCCTGAATAAGTGTCTTGTAGCTTTCTCCCGTCGAGTATGAGTCAAAATTGTCCATAATCACCTAAAATTCCCTTGAAGTGTCTCCCTGTGCCATCCGTAGATAGTGTTTTTCTTTTTAAATTACTGCAGGTAGCTTTAATTGTGCATTTTTCTTTTAGAGCACTGAAGTAATACAATCTTAATTATTCTTGTTTATAGTAGTTTCATGTACATGTGAAACGATGTGCTGCAAGTTAGTTATTCAAAACAGTAAGCCGTGTTTTTGGGAAAAAAAAAAAGCACTTTGTCAATTTAACAGTGATGCTCGAAAACATGACGCGGGAGTTGAGTTTAAGGATAATAATAAAAAAAAGCATCTTTGAGGGACGGAAGAACTTAAATTATTTATTTGCGGCAACCGGCTTGATTCTTGATAGTTGAGGGCTTATCGGCAGTTTTTTTTTTTTGCCCAAGCCTCACTGCATTCGAGGGCCGCCTTTTTTCAGCAGATCTCAGACATGCTGCAGATCTCTAATAGGAATTGGACGAGCCAAACAGAGTGGAGGTCGGATATAATAATATGATAAAACCCATGCTTTAGATCTACTGTTTTGTGGCGTCGCTTAAACCTAAATTTGGGACTTCAAAGGTCTGTTGTCTGATTTTAAGCTTGAGAATGTCTGAGCGCGCGTTTCGTTCTTTGGAAAAAGTAACTGGTTAAAACTTTGGTGAAAAATTTTTAAAAATTATTTTATCTTTTGTCTAGTTCAAAAGGGAAGAAAGTGAATACCATTTTATAGCTTCATCAATTCCATGATCGACCCAAGAGGCGAATTCGCATTAATGCTTTGCGTGCAACTGACATGTTTGTTATCCATTATCTCCCGCCATCAATAATATATTTTTGTTTTATACTGTTTTGATAAAATTATACTCATGATTCTGGTGTTTTTCTTTCTCTTATGAAAAGTTCAACTGAAAAAATTAGCATATACAGAATCTCGAGAGGGCAGAATTTTAGAAAAATTAACCTTTTAAAAGTTTTCACTTTATTTGTCCTAACCTTTTGTTTTCCATATTATTTTAGCGACGGAGGATCGTCGCGGGAAACCCTTCACGCGGACTCCTACTTTTGATATTACCGACAGTTATTAAAGGTACGTTCGTAGTTAAATTTAGCTTTGTATTAACAACAATTGAAAGCCATCGAACAGTGTTTGTGTAGGTGTTAAGTCACTTTGATTGCAGACGTTCTTTAATTAACATTCGAACGAGCCGATGTGACAACAAGGTTTAAAACGAATTCCGCTGAAATGAAACTTGGATAACCTGATAAGATTGGCTAGCACCTAATTGAGGACGAGGAACTTGGCTTGCTTTTTTTCGATTGATTAAGAAAAAGAAGAAAGGGAAAAGTTGTCAATCTCAATTTGTTCTTTCTACAGTACCTTGATGGATCAAAACTCGACGGCAGCAGCTGTAGAAGCTGGAAAATAAGATATTTTCATCATTGCTTTATTTTCCTTTTCTCTCTAGTTTGTTTTTAAGAGGTCTGGATTAAAACATGACAAGTGTTCCTCGAATTGTGAGCATTTTCTCCATATTTATTATGGCCATGACAACTTACGTTCTGGCAGACAGTGAATGCCCGGATGACAGTAACACAACGCCCCGTGACTCAGCAGGATGCCCGATTGGAGACATAACGGTTGCAATGTTCCTTTCTCCTCCGTACCTTCTGGAGAAAGACGGAAGCGACAACGGAACTCAAGGATATCCTTATGGCATTGTTTTCGACTACATTGTCGATACTTTGTTTGGATGCTGCCATGGGAAGACGGAATTAGTCACGACAAATGACGATATATTGAAATCTGACATAATCTTTCCTGTCAGTGAGAGCGATGAAACCAATCTAACTTTCTCAAATGTTTCTTATACCTTCTATGATATCGTCAAGGTGGATGGTTTTGTGCTCATTGGCCTCATTGATCAGTACAACGCCAAAGCAAGAGGCTTGGTGTTGAGGTCTTTGTACGACTCTTGGCCAATTTTTGCGTTAACCTTTCTACTCACTGGAATAGCCGGAATTTTCATCTGGGCGCTGGTAAGCTGACTCGTGACTTTTTACCTCTAACCACAGTAAACAATGGTTTATATCTCAGTTGGGAACGTATTGATCCCCTTATATGGAATGCCTCATCATAACCGACCACCCATTCTGCCATTCTGGTTGAACAGTCTTTCTGGTGGGGTGAGGTTGCTGCAATGGACACGTGGCTTCACTTTCGGTCCAAAGTTTAACGTAAAGCTAGCAATTAGGACGCATACATTTTTTGTAGCAACTCGATGGTAGTTAAACTGAGAACCAAGTTTATCAAAAAGGTCAAAGTGTCCCGCATAACACCACACATAGCTCTTTCATAACCACTTTTACTCAACAAATGGCGTGCGGTCTGAGGTTCAATTGCCACTCGGTTATACTGACTGCTAACTGCTACCATTGATGTCGAAATTAACATTCAGACAACAAGTATTTCAGCTTTGCACTCACTTATGCTGAGATATAGCTAGTAAATTTAAATACCCTCTTGGGTTATCAATAGGCGAGATTTGTCTCTATGCTTACTTTCCAGGAATACTACGTGAAAAACGAAGAATTTTCTTTGTCCTTTACAAGAGGTTCTTATGATGGATTTTGGTGGGCTTTCATCAGCATGACAACTGTTGGGTAGGAAATACCAAATAACCAATTATCTAGCCCTATTAGTATGTAAGGTAGCCATGTCTTTTGTAACAGAAGAGTAAAGGGGCTTTTTTTTGCACTCGTCAGACTTGTACCCAGTGATTTTGGTGCGCACACTCACGCGCCTCAAGGCTCCATTTCAGTTTATGTACATTCTAAAATCATATGGAAAACGAGTCCATGATTAATAATTGATAATTTGAACTTGGGAAATACAGCTGGAATATGATAAGCACTTACAATTTGATTAAGGTAGACAAACCGCTATTGAACGAATTTTGAAAAAGCCTACTTTGTTAACTTTAGCCCTTCGAGAAAAAATTTGTCTCTAAAGAAACCAATCGACTCACTTTTCCATTTATCTGAGTCATGTTGAAATTTTTATTGACGAATGATTGATAACAAGGATAACATCGTTCATTTTCCAAGATACGGAGACAAAAGTCCAAGATCGTTTTTTGGTCGTTTGTTTGGTGTGTTCTGGATTCTCATTGGCTTAGTCGTAATCACCATGTTTACCGCTACTGTGACGTCAGCTCTCACTCACAGCTCCTCGCCGGACTTTATCAATGCACTGGAGGGGTTAAAGGTAAGCGGTGTTGAACAGTTACTTGTAATTTCTAGAAAGATTGAAGTGAACCGGTGGAAAAACCCGTTAGGACATTTCACTTGAATTTATGATATTTGCAACTTCTGTTATCAGTACAGACCGATCTTGCATGCGCATTCTCTTTTCTTGACGATTTTAAAATACGACGATTTACTGGTATAGCAAGTGATTTCAATGAGCTTTTAATTGAAATATCATACCAGTCTGGTTGTTTTTTCTCTTTAGGTGGCCGTGCTTAATGGCAGTTTTGCTGAGGCCGAGGCAACCTACCTGGGAGCAATATCCAGTCGTGAGTATGGGTGCAGTTCCTGTGATTTTCACCATTTCATGTAATTGTCATGAGGTCAATTCACAGATATGCGCCCATCATGTATATATATTTTTAAGATTGCTGTATTTTAGGATTTTTCATAATCGCATGGCATACAAAATCCAAACTTAACATTGGTATAAGGTAGAATAAATTCACACAACTTGAATTTGGCGAAAGATGTGTTTTCGTCTTGGCTTAAGCATGGGACAAAAATTCGCCACTTTCAGTTACATCATCATTGTGCATAAGAATTCCTATCCAAGCAGTATGCAGGAAGTTAGTCACCACGAACCTAGTTAAACGGCAAAGTCTGCCATGTCTACCAAATCTGCTAGTTTCGATTCCTACAAGGAGCACTTTTAGTTCTTTTTCTCCCAGTATGTCTGTGTTATTCACTGAATAATACCCTCTTTCAAAAAATGCCATACTTCTTATAACGCTTTTGACATTGCTACTCCTGGTATTACGCTGGAAGTATGTCCCATATAACTTTCGAAAGGGCCTGGCTCATTGTGGATTCTTTGTGGCTCAGTGGTAGAGCATAATAGAGCGGAAACCAAAGGTCTCAGTTTCGATTCCTCGTGAAGGACTCAGAATTTCGTCTTTTTCCCACGCTCGTGAAAAGACGGACATATGTCTTTTGATATTTCTATACTGAGTTCAAAATTTACCTTCGTTCTCATTCTGTTAGCATAGAATTTAATGTTGAATTTATCACAAGATCCCCTAAAATGCATTTAACAACGCGACCTTCAAAAAAAAACACAGCTTTCCCTGATTAAAATGCGGATCGTAGCAATTTTCCTCTGATATTTCACTTAATCACGTATTGCCTTTCAGCGTACCCTGAATTTGAAGACATGCATGCTGCTATGGTTAAAGAAGAGGTAGAGGGCTTGTTCATGGAGAGACTCCAAGCTTACTACTTTTACAAAGATAAAAACGTCTACGATGGTGACAATTTGCGAGTGTTTCACACAGTCCCTACAAAAATTTCGCACAAGATGGCCTTCAAACAAGACACAACATGCCAGTTAATTGAGAATAACTACTGCTTCAAACGTCGCTTGGAAAATCCTTTAATCAGTTCGTACGTTAGGAATTATACAACACCGTTAAAGGTATTGGGTTATTTCACTTGCTTGTCTTAATCTTTTTACTCCTGATATTTCATTGGTAACTCTCCTTGCAGTCTGCCATACAATTTTTACGATATTAGTTCAGATAATTCGGCATCGAATCAAATAATGATCTCCTGATTGACATTTTTCCTTGTTCCAATCACTAGTCTGCTTCGAGCTTTATTTTAAAAAAAGTGGTTAGTAGAAATTCTGTTTTGGTCACTGATGGGAGTTAAATGGTCATGCCTTTGACGAAGAATTAGAAAGTTCTCCCCGCGGACAACGCTTGTCTGTAGAACATTGTTAGAAAACCATGGCTGTAGGTGGCGAGATCTGGTTGGATTATAGGACAGATTAAATTTTAGTCACTCACTATTTTCTACAATGTCCACCTATTGTGTCTTTCAGGCTTTTAACCCATCGGTGGATACAGTTGGTCTTTTGTCAGGCAATTCAAAAGGAACAAGTACTTTGTTACTCAGCCTGATGGGTGTGTTCTTCGGTTTGTGTGTTCTCGGCGTCTCGGTAGAGTTGTTCTTATGGAAATCTGCAAGGCGGTGCACTAAGCCTGTTCCCTTTCGTAAGTATATCAGAAGTTCCATCTTGGTATCCTGGGCGTTTCTTAATTAATGTAATGGTGGCCGAAAAAAAAATCATTGCATTTGCTGACTTTGTATTTCTGCTTCATTCTTCTTAGAGACTAAACGTGAAAGAACGCCGTCTGATGTAAATTCATTTCACCTGAACACGGTTTTATTGCAACTTAGAGGCTTCGAGGAGAATCTGGAAAAGCTTTCCAACCAAATACAGACAATGAAAGAAAATCTGACAGGTGCAACAAGGAAGACGACCCAAGAAAACGTGAAGCTTACGGAATTCAACTAATTATTACTTCAGTGTAGTCAAGGCTCGATTATCCTGACTGGTGGGACTGGGCTAAGCATTCCGGAAAATATGAATATTAATGATCCAAAAATAATTCTGAATACGTATAATTTAATTAATATGTTTGACACATACGGATATCGATCATACTTAAGTCTGCCGGTCGCGTGATTTATGCTATGATATTTAAACCCTGACCTAAATAAAGGAAGTATTGTTTACCACTGGATTTAAAAAAAAAAAATCTTACACCTGACGCAAAAAGAAACGCATGACATGCGTAGCAGTCAATAAAATAAAAAGTTAATTTTATTTCATTTTTATCGATCGACGAAAGGGTAACTGTCGATATACTGCCATCCCATCATGCAAGGCCGATCGAAGTAGCAATACCCCCAGCTGTTCCATGTTACGAAAAGTTATGTGAACGACTTTGGATACATGAAAATCATATATTTGAACTGTGGTTAATAAATGAAGACGAGAGTGATCTTCGCTGTAATAATAAACACTACTTTAGTAGTAGTGAAAATGAAGTCTGAAGTCTGGCTGACCTTTTCAGCTTTATCTTCATGACTGTTTAATTAGTATTCATTACGGCGAAGATCACTCGGATCTTTTAAAAGCGATATATCTCACAGAAATTATGGGTGACGATTAAAGACTTTTATGGACTTGAAAAATAACAGAAATCATAATAAACATGAACAGGTTTGTATTTTAGATACTAACGCCAATTGAGCATATATCCTAAAGCTGAAAAAGTTCTCGCAAATAAAGTAATTGGTCCTGGTGTTTGTAAAATACATTCAGTTGACTCTGCTAGAAATAATTGTTGTAAATAAGTATGGCTTGAAGACATTTGATTGGTTTATATGAAGCCTTCTGATAAAATTATAGAAATTAAGTAGTAAACGATAACGATATGATTATCACCATACGTCATTTGACATAAACAGCTTACATGGTTAAACATTTGAAAAAGTTACAATTTCGTGAAAGTAAGGTCATTTTTAGGTTCATACAATTTGAATTAAAGGAATGAAAAGTTAAAAAAAAAATTCTAAACAGTTTAAAGATGTGTTTTATGTGATCTTATTTACTTTGTTAAATATTTCATAATCAATTTACCGCCCTGGTGGAATTGTAGAAGAATTGTGGTATTGAATGACGTGCCGAATCTCATCCACTATTCTCTTCGTAGTTCCAAGGACATGCTTCCAAGATAAAGTAGCGTAATAAGTGTGGTAAGCATCTGAATTTTTTTACATTTTATATTTTAATAATGTACATGAAAAAATTACTCAGTTCTGATTGGTTAACATAAATGCAGTTTTAAGGTAATTCAGAGCAGAAGAGGGTTAATTTAGTGCAAAGAAATTAATTAATCAGACATTCTGATTAGTCAATAATCAAAGAAACTCACAGACAGCTAATCAAATGCGAGCCTTAGAGGTCGCAACAAAATTTGAAAATTTGAAAAATTGCGAGCGAAACAATGGTTGGCGTTTTAGGTAGGTTTTCTTTCGCCACCGCGGCTGAAAAAAAGCTCAAACAACGAAAACATTGTAAAAGGTACTGCTTTTTGGTTGTCGGTTTGGAGAGAGTGGTGTTTAGGGAAGGGAATTGCCAAGGAAATCGAAAATTGCGCATCGATCCAGCTTAACACTTCGCTCGAGCGATCCAACGCCGAAATTAAAAACAAACATGGTTAAACATCGAGAACGACGATTTCATTTCATCGAAACTGATTCGGACACAGACTCAACAATTCCTTGAACTGTTTAGGCGGACTTTGAACTTTTTTTGCGCCTTAAAGAGGTGAAGATATCATTGTATATTATTGTTTTGATGGTACACGGTTGTTTTGACCGAGCACACAATGTCAAAATTGCACGAGAAATCATTTGATTACCTAAACAAATTCCGGTAAATGGTTTGAACCCGGGGGTAGCATGTAATAGTGTAGTTTGATCGTCCGGGTGAGTGTAGTCCTGAGAAGGACTGTTGTCGGTAGTGGTGACTGACGTTTCGACAACCTGAGCGGAAGTCATCAGTCAGAGCCAAGGATACAAATTCCAATATACAGATCGTTGTTATGGAAAATAGGAAGTAACATTAGACGTCCCACCGGGTCAACTGGCAAGCCAGTTTCTTTCCATCCTTGACAAAACTGTCTTATCTTTCCTTAACAACTCAACCAGGACAAACAAGAGAATTGGCCATCACAACAAATATTCAATATCCGGTAGCGATCATCTCATGCTCTGTCTCTCTGTCTCTTGTGACAGCTTCTCGGCTTCTATAACATAGTAATGCATCTTTTACTGCTTTCCTGTATTTGGGATGTCTCCATGCGTAAATATAAGCATCTAGGGCAACCTTAAAGAACATGATCACGTCGCTCACACGAAGAGCAATGCTGATCTTGAGCAGAAAGTCCCACGACATAGGCTTGGTATAGAGGTAAATATAAAATGAGACGATGTGTGGAAAGGAACACAAAAGTAGCAGGGCAGATAACATGAGCGCCACAACCGTTAGTTGCTTCTGATGTTTTGCTTCGTTCTTACTGCCTTGTGCCCCTTCTGAGCACTGATGCATGGATCGACTCAAAGAACTTCGCTCGCGGAACGCCTTAGACCTTTGGGAAAACCTTCGGAATGATTTGTACAGGAAAATGTGCGCCACAGTCAGTAGGACGCCAACAACAGTTGGGTGAAGGTGAAGATTTATCCTCAAATAGGTATCTGTTGGGATTTTCGTATACTGCAAGGAGCTGAAGATGGCGAAATAGACAAAATGACAACACACTGCAACAAGAACCCGCCTCTTGGTGAATAGCACCTTGTATCTATGAGGGTAGGTGATGGCAATGTATTGGGTTGTAGTTAAAGCCAGGACCAGAAAAAACGAAGAGCTTAGCATTATAACGGACAGGAACGCGCTTGTAGTGAACAGGTATTCAAATTGCTTGCCTGGACGGAACGTTTGATAGAAATGGCAAGCGAAGTAGTAGACGGCGAAGAGAGGCTCAACAATCAGACCTGTCACGAGGTCAACAAGTGCCAAACTTATAATAAAGTAAGTGACTGGTGTCCGAAAGGATTTAAAAGGATCTCTGTAGATTGCCATCAAGAGGAGAGTATTGCTAACCACTGTGATAGGGGAGAAGAGTGAGAGAAGGAAAGCTGACACGTATAGTGTGGTGAGATAGGGCTTGTAGTCCAGGTCTTCCAGCGATGAATTGGCTACCGTGATATTTGCCATTTATTTTCAACAGTGTCTGTTTTCAGTTTCAATCCTCGTTATGTATGGAGTAAAGATTATCAGTCACAGATCTAGCGTCATCAAATTCTGGTTGCCCAAATATTTGAATGCTTGTCTCACATCAATGTGTGACCAACCTGATAAAAAACAAATAATAATAATATAAACAAAAATCAAAGAATGTATAATGACTGAAGAACCCTAATATACATTTTTCTTGCCGGTTGGAATTGAAATATTCCATTGACACATAATGATCCCTAGCTGTGGTTTGCTGTTCTCAGGCAAAAAGCAAACGCTGGGCCATAGTCATCAGTGGGCTTACAGACTACTGCTAATCAGTTATATATTTATAAAAATACCTTTTCTGTCTTGGCTCTCTTGGCAATGAAAATTGCAAATTTGAAAGCCACTCTCATAATTTATGAAAAGTCAAACATCATCTGATTTACTTCCAGAGGGTCATATTTTCTTCACGATTTTAGTCAAAGCTTGGTGTTACCGATTACAAAAGAAATCCGATTCTCTATCAAGGATATGTTTGGAGAACTCAGAACGATTTGTAGCTTAAATATGAAATTATCGTCATAAACATATTTCCTCTACAGGTCTGTCGTCAACCGGCCTCCTTATACTATGGCTCTCTGTATTTCCGCACACCTGCACTGAGTGGTAGGAAAAGCGCACGTGTCACTTCCAGTGAAGTAATTGAATAGCTCGAATGATTGAGATAATATAAAGCTGATGTAATTAGTTTCAAACGTAAATGTATTTCATTTAAATTATTTGATAAGAGTAGAAGCATCAAGAAAATAAAAACACTGAATCATTGAAGAAGAAACAAAAAAATTCAGACGGTAAAAATAAGTAAATGAATGGACATTTCATAGTACGATATGATTTTCTTAGATTTAGCCAGTAAAATTCCCAGGATTGATTTTAGCAAAAGATACAAAATTTCCAATTTGACCTTGGAGATAGCTCAATGCATAGAACAAAATATATACAAATACAAACTACAAAGAAATGGACAAAAACAAAAGATGGTTCCATCTATAGAGCTTAGAGATGCACACCATGGCCGGATTGGTCAAGTAGAAAAAAACTCTTTTGTGGAGAGATAGATACATGTAATAATGGTTTAACTTAAGTAAGGGCTTTACGAGAGAAGTTCAATCGTGACTTTTAGCCGTAAATTAAATGCAACGACTTATTAAAAAGAAAAATTATCGAAAATAAAAAAAATTAACAAACTGATCAATTGCAGATAAAAAGAGGCCTAGCAATACTATGATACCCTTTTTAAAAGTATCCTAATAATCTTGGAAGTCTAACGCGTCTGAGTTGAACTTAGAATCCACTTTCGTTATATCTTGTTAAAACATATATTCATGACAAGAATTTCCCGTTGTGCAGTTTTCGTGCAGTAGGTAAATTATTAGGCGTCCTATTAAAATGTCAGAAAGTTTGCCAACGGAAAGTAATACTGACAATCGTTTCTGTTTTCTCAGGTTTAATTTACTCAGTTAACATCATGCAAATCTTTGACAAATGTTGATAATATTGATTTTAAGATAAGCACGCAACCCTGAAACGTGCAAACGAAAGCATGGTGCATCCGCTGCCGATTTTTATTTTTCTTTTTACTTTTTTTTTTTTGCACTAATTTATGTGTGTTTAATTATTGCAACCGGGCAAAAGTTGTACCTTAAAGTTAAAAGATTTCTCTTTAAATGACAGAAACAAGGTACTAATACAGGGCGTGATCACAGCACGCGCATATATTATGACGTTGCAGATGTGGGAAAGGCAGTGGGGTTAATTACAGAATGATGAAACGGCTAAAAGTCGTAATATTATAGATTTGATTTTCAAAACAAAGTTTTATCCTACAGAAACACTCCATGGCAAATATTGCATAAACTCCCAAAAAACTAAAACTTAGATTTAGCGAAGATCTTGCGGAATTAAAAGTAGCATGGCTTACTACACCTTTCATATATAGTATCTTAGGTTTTTTCATGAGTCATCTAATGATTCTGCGAATACCACAAAATATTGAAAACTAGAGCTACACTATTTCTTTTGTCTTCCTTCTAATAAAATGCAAAATCAATTATGATTTAAGGAAACACCTTGGCAAGTTATTCTTAATGATCGCAAAACAAATATTAATCCAATCTACTTTCGGTTAACAGTGACTTATGCCACGAACTAAAAACGAAAGTATCACCTGTTGTATAAAAAAATAACCTTGAATCTCCACTTTTATGGTAAATGTACGATGTAGTAATTCCTACTCCAATCATGCTCGATCCTAGCCACTTATTTTTTTTGAAGTAAAAGGAGGGTATTAATTAAAAAGCATAGTTGATCGAAAATCTTGTCCACATACAATAGGAGCGAAAGAAGAATTTCAAAAAGAAGGAATATCCATTGTCAAATGACAGTAGATACATAAAAAACACCGTGTGTTGATCGCTTCAGTTCTTAAGGAAGACGGTAATTGAGATTTCCAATCACTTTTGTGCTTTTTAAAAGCCTTACCTTTTCTCGAGCCAATTTTGAGCCAATGACTGATGTGATTTTCAATATGAATGATTCCAAATTCGATTTCCCTAAGTTCTTTAAAGCCTGATGCAGTTTGAATTGTCAACACCTTGGGAGAAATTAATCAAAATAAGTTCAAAAATTCAGTTCCGCCAGCCTTCAGAGAAGAGGAAATAAAAAGAGTAATTGACTGTAATAATGTATTCTAAATTAATTAAGTTTGCCTTAAATGTGATCTCTACTTATCAAATGATCTTTTCTTAAAAATGGACTTCCGCCTTTTAATGTCCAAAGTAAAACATCTTCTTGCTCTTTTTTTGCTAGTGAAAGGATTGGTTAGAAATGTTTGTAGATTTTCACTTCTGATATCGCTGAAAAATAACAATTAGATCCGTCGATTTGCCTACGGGAAAGAATCAAAGTAAAGAGTATGCCGAAACCTTTCCTTGGTGTGCAACAATATTGAGTAAGTCATACTTGTGAATTGGTCAAGTTGGTAAATAAGTTTTTTTGACCGTGATTGTTTTGAGGAGCAAAGCATTTTCTCAGTTACTAATAACAGCAAAAAATTTGCCGAGTAAATATAAAGTGTAAATTTGTGAGGTTTAGCAAACAAGATAGGAATATATGAATTAACCTTCTAGCTGTCGTTTATTATAATTTCTAACCTACGTGCTCGCCTAGTCATAAATTAAATAAATAGCTTGCGAGTGTACTGAGGTCGACCTGAAGATGGTTTTTAGTTTGATCGAAAATTTAAAACTTGAGGATTTATTATATCCAATAAATACTTTAAAGGTTCTTCTTAAAGAGTATAATTCCTCTGCTTTTTAAAAAGAGGAAATTGATCGGATTCAGAATTGTTCGGTTGTACTTTTTTCCCCCGATAGAATAGTTTTTATTAATGCTGACAATTAGACCATAGTTTTTGCTATGGCAAGACAGAATATATGTTGTGAATATGGTATACTAAGACAATAAGTTTCCTCTACAGAGGTTAGAAATTCCAAAACGTTTCAAACGTTTGAGTGATTTTCCCCTAACAAGAGGAGCAAAACTACATTTGTGTAGTGCACTTATGTCATCGTATGAGGTTTGCTTCTGACCCCACATTTAAGTGCTCTGTTGCTTGAATATTGAATGTTTTCTTATAGTTAAGTGCTCATACGAAATTCAGAACCAGACAATATGCTCTATATTGATCAGTTAGTGAAGAGGATGGAATTTACTAAACCAAGATATATATGTTTGAAAGTAGTTAAATGATGTTTTTTTTTTCTTTTCTCAAATCCGAACCTCCATGTTTTTAAACTTGGGGATGATCACAACTAAGAATTTTTGTATTTTTCTTTCTCACAAAGTAATCACAAAAAGGTAGCTTTTCAGTGAATCACAATGAAGCCGAACACTCAAAAGTCATACAGAATGGGATGCGGGTACCTCTATGTCTTTCATTTCTTTTGAAAACAAGTCCACACATCTTAAAACAGATTGAAGTGTCTCAATAGATGAGATTCTATTATGATACTTACATTGCAGTCCACAGCCACTATAGATAACGTCTGAGATCTCTTTGCTTTACAAGAGGCTTCGAATTAAATATGAAAACTGACTCAGAGGAGTGTTTCTCGATAGCTTATTATAGTTGCAGGGCTTTCTTAAGGATGCTAATCTACGTTGCTGGCTTCTAAATAATTTCTTTTGAAATATCAACTGACTGAGGTTATTTATTCTACCACCAAGATTGAGAGAGGAATTCGGTCAAAATGTAATTATCAGGAGAAAGAGATCATAATTCTAAAAATTAAGCTTGGTTATTAAGGTCTTTGATTTACCCCTGACGTTGCGTGTGATAATTGGCAGAAGTCTGAGAAGAAATAGATTTCAATAACATTTATGTTCCCCCCTGTTTTGGAAAAATTATACTAAGAACTTCAACAAAGGAATATACACACTGAATAAAGTATTGGAAATTGTGGTAAATTACTCCAAATTAGCAAAAGGAAAAGAAATAAAGAAATTTAATATTTTTTTCATTACAATGATGCGTAATGTTCACAAAGCAAAGTTTCTGACTCCCAGATCGGTTTTGTCACTCATGTTTGTTTGTTTATTTGTATGTAATTAATTATTTAATCACAAAAAGAGATTTAAAACGTGAAGATGTGCCTAAGTTTTTTTGTTTGAGTCTGTATCCAATATATATATATGTATATATATATATATATATATATTACCTTGTCCGTATTAAGACAAAGAAAAAGGCCAAAAAATTGCGTTTTATATTTTTTTGAGACCTCAGGGATTTGTCTAAGCTGTTGACAACTTTTAAGTATCAACATGTTTGGAATTTGCATATCAAGGACCTCATAGCTTTTGCAGGTCGGGGTATGAATGAGAAAATATATTGAAATATATGACACCTAACATATAGTTTTCATAGGCAAATCCTTAAGATTTCAAGGTCAAGATTGTTTTCATACTCTACTAATACAAAACTTGAGACAATTGAAAACTTTTTATCGCTAATGCGCTCCGGGTCAATACCAACAATTTCGTAAGGCTTTTAATTAGTTTACTCCACAGGGGTCTTAGAGGGTAAAATCTAGGGAAACCGTATGCAAATTTAGAATCATCACACAATTTCGCAGAGTTTCCAACTTGCATCAGAGAGAAGTTCTTTACACGTTTGTTCAACAATTTTGAACTGTATACTTTCGCTCAAGTCTGACTTTATTCTTTGCAATTCAATATCACACGTTCTTCTCTATGAACTCTCCAACTTACAGAAGATGCTACATAATTAGCTATGGAAACCACGTCCGGATACGTAATTCCGGTGTGGGATACACTTGCTTACGTTTCACAACGATTCTCTGGCTCTCTTTTCCTTTTAAACGTGGGTCTATTTGACAATCGTGTAGCTAATACCTCTGCGGTTAATTTCCTTGATTAAATTCAAAGCATCCTGTCACATTCAATAAATTTCTTTTAATGGTAATGAAATTACGGTTCACTTAAAAACAACTGAAATATGACATAAAAAGGACCCTCATTTTGAGAATAGAAACGTTCCACAACGCAATGGAGGATTTTAAGTTACCATGCCCTTATCAGAAATGCCTAAAGACTATTAACCGGGTGATTGTCAGAGAATTGGGTCCTTGAAAGAATAAGGATATTTCGGATGCTTCGCAAAACTTCTTGCATGTCTCCATTCCGGCGCCAAGAATATTACCTCTTTAAAGGTTAAAATAAAAGTTTTACACATAAAAATATATCCAGTGTGGATTTTATGCATTATCAACTCAAAGGTTTTTGAAAAAGAAAACCAACTGTATTCAGAAAACGATCATATTTTATGCGGTTGAGTTTCGAAAGTGTGTTTTTTATGACAATCATTTTCAGCATGTCCACTTTTGCATACAGCACAATGGAAACATCGCTTATGGCTCGCGGCAAAACAAATAAAAGATTTCCTGGCAATTTATTATCGCCTTATTTTACTTTAACAAAAGCTGTATTCTAAGGCGCGCTATCTTCAAGAAAGAATTACTTATTCGTGTTCTTAAAACCATCAC